TTTTTCACCAGTTCCATTGCAGAGAACGGTGAGCATTCCGAGGCTTCCCAACGTCTCGTGTCATCGGTTCATCAGGCAATAAACTTTGTACTCGAGAAAGCTTCATCCCAAGAATATTCGCCCAGAACGACACTCCCAACGAAAAGGCAAAGGCTGTGTAGCTCCTATACATCAAGCTCCTCCTCTGGATCATAAATTCTGTTTGTGTCAACAGGTAATACCACTCATTTCCATCTCAAACTTGCAGCAGTTATGTGATATATTCAGCTGTGATAAGCATTTCTACTCTGTATGTTTGGCTCAATCAGCTTAAGAGGTCGGAATGCTTTTCGACTATGATTGGGCATATATTGTATTCTGTTTTTTTAGTTATTGTAAAATCAATTACTTTGTAAGATCTCACGTCGATTGGAGAGAGAAATAAGTGTTAGCGAGGACGTTGGACTCCGAAGGGAGTGGATTGTGAGATTTCTGTGGGAGAGGGTAACGAAACATCCTGTTTCTAGCAGACGCATTTTAAAAACCTTTAGGGGAATCCCGAAAGGGAAAATCGAAAGAGTACAATATCTACTAGCGGTGAGCTTTGACTGTTACATACTCATGTTTCCTTTTGCATAGCTACAAAGGGTCTACGGTTTTAAAAATATAGAAGTTTCAAATTTTTAGTAGCGATCAATATAAGAGTTTTCACATATCGAACTATTCTTATATTCTTATATAAATTTAAACTTCGAATATATGTCATCGAGACATTCAAGCTTTACTAACTAACACCGATTTTTTTTATTTAGTGTTGGACAGGATAATAATTTATTTGCTAAATTATTATTATTATTTTTTTGTTCTTTGAAATTTTATATTAAAAATGTAGTATATCATAAAAAATTGAAACTAAATACAAACTATATATTATATTTATTTGTAGATATTTATTATGAATTTTAGAAATAAAAAATGACGATGTTCTAAAAATATCTTCAAAATGCTATGAAAACTCACATTTTTTTTTTTTTTTTTAATTTTAAATCTCATATGTTGTATTGATGTAAACGTGGAGTATGATGCAATTCAACTAAACCTCTTTGTTTATTCAATTAAATGACACTATTTTTTTGGGTGCTCATGCCACTTCATTTTGTAGTTGAAGATAATATCACGTTTTTCACTCTCGATATTACCTAACATATAACTCCAATAATATAATCGTTCAAGTTTACAAATAGTAGATATTGTTAGCTTTAGCTTGTTACGTATCACCGTCAGTCTCACAATTTCAAAACATCAATGTGAGATCGCATAATCCATATCTTTGGAGGCACAACCTCCTCGTTGGCTCACCTCTAGTGTCTGCCTTTAATATCATTTCTAATTGTCCATGCCCACAGCTAAACGAAATTGTCCCCTTTAGTCCGTTACCTATAGTGGTCAGTCTCAACATGTCAAGACAATATCCTGCCAAGAATATGATTAACATCTACGTGGAACTTCAATAATGTAATAATTCAACTCTACTATTAGCAAATATTGTCTATTTTAGCCCATTACGTATCGCTGTCAGCATAATAATTTTAAAACAAGATCTCATAATCCACTCTCTTAGCGGCACAAATTTCTCGTTGGCACACCACCTAGTATTGAATTAACTGTCTAAATCTACCGCTAATCAATATTGTCTGTTTTAATCTATTATCTAGAACGGTCTCTCTCAACCTGTCAAGACAACATCTTGCCAAGAATATGATTAACCTCCACGGCTCGTGTGTCGTGAAGCTAATGAAATTAAAGTGACAGCTCTCTCTGCTATTCACTCTCGTGTCAACATTCATGCTCCGTACTCCCGCGGAAAACACACACCGGTGTTTGCTCTTGCTCTCGTTTTCATTCATTTCCGCTCAATCCATTATCCAGACATGCCTCTTTCTCTCCCGCTTTATTCGTACGTGAAGGTACGGTTCGTCCGTCGCGTTCGGCGATTCCTGCGCTCAAAATCATCGCGAAAGCGATTCCGTACGTCGTCTGATCCATCGGATGTTTCGAGTCCCGGAGTTAGGCAAAGAGATGAGAGTTTTATCCTGGAGTATGATCGGGCCTCCGTGTTGCAGAGGACAGTGAAGAGTCTCCACTTCGGCGATGGAGAGGAGAAAGAGAGAGCAGCGAAGGAAATTGAGAGGTTGATTAAAGAGAGCGCGAAGATTAGAAAGCTGATAGTGGATCTTGGAGTTGTACCTGCTTTGGTGGTGATGGCGGATTCTGATCAGTTGGCGGTTAGAGCGTTGATTGAGCTTGCTAATGGTAGTTTCGTGTAAGTTTATTTGATCTCTCATCGGAACTTTTGGTTCTTCTAATTTGATTTTCTATTCTACAAGGTTAACTTGCTATTTCATTCATTCTCCTTTGCGCGCGACGAGTCTGAGTTTTTCATCATTTAAATTAAATCTTAGAGAAGGAAAATTGTGTTTAGAACTGTAGCATCAAGTAGTAAATCAATTTTGAATGTTGAAAGACATGTTTCAAATACATCAAATTTGTTCGTATAATAATTGCTATTTAAGTTGATTATGAAATCTATGGAGGAAATTGAATAAAAAAGTAATAATTATTATCAATTATTCAATCGATACATTGTTTTGCAATTTGAAATTGTTTGGTAAAGAGAGCTGACAAGAGGTAGAAGACGAACCAGCAGCCTTCACTATTAAAGTGATATTATATTTGTCCTGAAAAATCAACTCCAATTATTGCTTGCAAGATTTAGAACAGTTGCTCCGATCTAACAACTCTGAATTATTAGCCAGGAAGTTGGTCACAAGTAGCTAACCAAGTCTTGGAATCTTGACTTTACTCACTCTGTTACATTTGACCAATTCTGTGATTGATTGGTTATGATTTTCTTTCTATCTCTGCATTTCTTCAGGCACAGGACACTAATGGTGGAGGAAGGGATCTTATCAAAGCTACCAAAGAACGCCAAATTTACAGCAATGGACTCAACCAGCCATGAATTCGCAGAACTTTTATGTTCACTTTCTTCTCTGGCCAACACTCGGTTGTTTATTGCTTCAACAGAACCAGCTATTTTATATCTCTTAACCATACTCAATTCAGAATCCAACCCAAACACGAACCCCAGCCCCAAAACCAAAACATTTTGTTTGGCAGCTTTATTCAACATTTCCACCGTCCTAGAGAATGCAGAAACCTTAATCTCCAATGGTGTTATTCCAACGCTACTCAGATTCTCTTCTGTCAAAGAACATTCCGAGAAAGCCCTACCAACACTAGCAAACTTGGCAGTGAGCTCAAGAGGAAAGCAAGCTCTGGAAAGCAACTCAACGTTCCCAGAGATTTTGATAGAGGTCATGACATGGGAAGAGAAGCCCAAATGCCAAGAGCTCTCAGCTTACATCATAATGATTCTTGCCCATCAAAGCTGGGCGTTAAGAGAGAGATTGGCCAAGTCCAGGATCGTCCCTGCACTGCTAGAATTAGCCCTTTTAGGGACCCCATTGGCTCAAAAGCGAGCTTTGAAATTGCTGCAATGGTTTAAAGACGAGAGACAGGCGAGAGTGGGGCCGCATTCAGGGCCTCAGACAGGAAGAGTTGCAGCAGGCTCAGCATTTAATAAAAAAGAGATTGAGAAAGGGAAGAGAACGATGAGAAGCCTTGTGAAGCAGAGTCTGGATAAGAATATGGAGATAATAACTCGACGAGCCAATGGTGGGGAATGTTCCAGTCCAACCATTAGGAGAACCTTGGTTTCTAGCGATAGTTCCAAGAGTTTGCCCTTTTGAAGAAATACATTTATGAAGTATTATCTGCCCGTCTGTAATTTATTGTCATCTTCTGCAGGTCACCAAATCCAGAAAATGGAAAAACTGAACCTCACAGTTGAAACTACATTGAGGGCTTAAACCACTTTTTCCATTGCCGAAGTATTTTTTTTTTTTTGGCCCTGATGAACAAGGCTAAGAAAGCAAGTAATGCTAAACTAAGTAAAGCACGAGCTACTGTGACACCAGTAAAGGAGAGGTACATGAATGAATTGATACCATATTTGTCTGAGAGTGAAAATGAACGTTACTCCCTATACCAACAATGCCTTCCCTTTCAATAGTTTAATCGTAGGAACTCCAGGAACTCTATAGATAAAAGTGCTTTGCTTTGGAGCAATTCTAAGTTGAGTGATCATTTAGAAATTTTCCTAAAATGCATGTAAGTGAGGACAAAACATGTTGTTTATGGAGATAATTGGAAGGATTCATGTTGGTTTGTGGAGATAATCTTCACTTTTAAAAGCATTGGAAGGATTCATGTTCGTTTGTGGAGATAATCTTCACTGATCTGGGTTTTAAATCTTGGTCCGAATCCTAGATATAGTTGGTCGAGCACATGCAATGTAAGATATATAAGACTCACATATCATAGAAAGTCTTCAATTGACTTCATACAGGATTCACTCACATGGGACCGAACAGCTACAATCAAGCCCTTATTGCTTCAGGTTTGAACTCGTATCTTTATTACAATTATCCAATGACAATGGCAATGTTTTAGATTTTGATATATAACATTATTGGTTGCTGGAATTATCGTCAATTGTTAAGTTTAATATAGTTGAAGCCATACATGTGATCGTAATGATGCGAAAAGATGAAGATTAATATTGAGATGTTCTACTATTTTAACTGTTATTAGTCAAATGAAATCCCATGATCATAGCCTCCTCTAGTTGCTAACAGTTCTTATTACTATTTTTGCTCGTAGCTAGCCATTGATTTAAACATAGAATCGTCCAAACAAAACCAAAGGGCCAGACTGGATAGGATGATTCAAGGGTGTTCTGGCAGCTAACAGGGCCTTCCGGGAGCCTCAGAGCACTGAATCACTTCATTGAAAAAGGGATTTCCAGCAAGATCACAGTAATGCTTCTTCTCATTTCTCAGCAAAAGCACTATCCACGTACACACGTTTCAAACCTACTGATAATCTCTCCGACCAGCCACCAGTGGTCTCCATCGGGCTTGATTATGATAAAGCTCTGTTGAGGAGTGTTGGGAGAGAGTCCCACATTAAGGGGATAGTCATGATCCATCGGGCTTGATTATGATAAAGCTCTGTTGAGGAGTATTGGGAGGGACTCCCACAAGGAATAGTCATAAGTTCATAGCCAGAAACACTATCTCCGTTGATATGAGGCCCTATCCTTTGAGCCTTACGGAGGAACACTATCTCCTTTTGAGCTGGGGTTTTAGGGAGGAACACTATCTCCTTTTGAGCTGGGGTTTTAGGGAGGAACACTATCTCCTTTGAGCTGAGGCCGTAAAGCCATGAAAGCTTTATGATCAAAGTAGAATATATCATACCATAGTAGAGAGTCGTGATTCCTAACAAGTTCCTCTTCTCTATTTGAGTTGACTTCAAGTTCCTCTTCTCAAATCTTTTCTATTTGAGTTCCATTATATTTACTACTAGCTGCTCCTACCTCAACGTTCATTCCAAGTTGCATGAATTGCTCCTAATTTAGTCTCCCATTTATTTTAAGGGGCATTACATCCAACTTGGAATGAGATGATCAAGAGGGAGAAGGTAAGAATCCTCTTGATAATGAAGGTGTATGGGAGAGGGTGAAAAGATTTGACGTTGATACAAGCAGCTCAGTTCAAGATTTATACAGCTTAATGGCATTCAGATTTTGCTGTTATTATAAAAAAGAATCCCATGATTATAGGCCCTTTTAGTGGCCAGTTCAATCTGTCATTTTTGTTTTTTAATAGCCACAGATTGTTCAGAAAAAATCTGAATGCCAGTTTCCATTACCATGGTCTCCAATAGCATATCGTCTAAACTCACTATTAGAAGATATTGTCAAGCTCGTTACACTATAAGAGCCTAGATTATTCGTTAGTAAGAGTCGAAGTCCACTGTTAGCAAATATTGTCAGGCCCGTTACTCTATAAGAGCTTAAGCCCCAAGCTTGTTACGTGTAAAAGCTCAAGCCCCAGGCCCATTACGATGTAAGAGCCTAAGCATACTGCTAGCAGATATTGTCAGACTTGTTGTAAGAGCCCAAGCCCACTGTTAACAGATATTGTTAGGCCCGTTACGCTGTAAGAGCCCAAGCTCACTGCTAGTAGATATTGTCAGGCCCGTTATACTGTAAGAACTCAAACTCACTGCTAGTAGATATTGTCAGGCTTGTTATACTGTAAGAGCCCAAACTCACTGCTAGTAGATATTGTCAGGCCCGTTACGCTATAAGAGCCCAAGCTCACTGCTAGCAAATATTGTCAGGCCCGTTACGTTGTAAGAGCCCAAACACACCACTAGCAAATATTGTCAGGCCCGTTACACCATCAACCTCTAGGGAGAAGTAGAAGTTTCTACACCCTTGTAAAGCTTCGTCGATTACATATAGTAGTCAGTTTCACTATTTTCACTGTTTTCAAACGCCCCTATTGGTAAGAGGTTTCTACACCTTTATAACATGAAATATCACATTTTTTCCTGCGATAACCCAAATTTATCTCATCCGAAAAGCTTAAAGAATCAATTTCTTGAATAAGAAATGAGTACCATGTGAATTGCTCTTGATGTACATACCCATAATTTGATAATCCAAATAAAAACCAATGAGTTTGTTCAACAATTTGCTCCCAAACAAAAAGTAAAGGCGAGTACTGAAAAGGAAGGTGTACCCTAATAAGGCGACCCACATGAGAAGCCAAATTTAAAGGGAAGAATCCAAATCATGATAAAAACAACATTAAAGTGGTCCATGTTTGGTTAGTGAGCTTCCAACATTTCTAACCCTAGTGCTCCTTGTTGGGAAGGTTGACATTTCTTTAGCTGCCCCACACCCCCCTTCAATACTCCACTTTCTTTATGCTTTTTCTATATGCTTTGTATCATGGTGTATAGGACTACCATACATTTGTAATGCTATGTGACATCTTAGCCATAACCTAAGAGTAGGTATTGATGTGACTCGTTCTTAAGTTTGTATGGTGGATGTATAGTACTCCTCTACATACGACAACATGCACACACGCGCATGAACCCACCTGATAGGTGTATATGTACCCCTGAACCTATCTTTCAGCTACTGCATGTCCATGCTGCTGAAACCATAGAGGGAAAGGAACCCACGTAATATCATGACAAAACATAGATATCGTAATGTACACATCCACACTCATTATAACGGAGAAGTATCTTGATGCATATGACATACAATATGCATAAGGTCCCATAGTATCAATTCATGACATATACGTATTATGCAAGTCATACCTCCATTATTTCCATGACAAAATGCCCTATGAGATATGCATACATAACATTTATTATATCTTTCTCAACTAACGTACCTGGCTTTCTAAGGTAATGAATGAACATATTACATAATTTACATGACATGACAAATAGAGGTTCATGCATCATACGACATTGATAACATAACATACTTTATAACATAGCATAACTTATATCACATCATATTTGACATCATAGCATAACATAGCATTGCAGTAATCAAGTCATCCAACCAAGCTAACAGTAGAGTCACTTATCTAGTTGGCCTAAGCCAAAGTCACAATGCTCCTTCTATCTCCACTCACATAAAGTAATATAAACTTATTATTAATAATTTTAATTAGTTAAAATGTAGTCAGACTAACCTTAAACACATGAAAATGAAAATTGGTAGGAAATGATCCAAACGTATCAGGCCTGAGTCAGATCAACTAACCTCAAAAGGGTTCAAAATATCAAACTCGAACCGGTTCATTCGGCTTCAAAAGAGTTCATAAATATCAAATCCAAGTTGGATTAGCCAAAAAGTCGAGCGGGAGCAATCAAAAAGTGTATTCTTTAATTGGCTCCTATCAACCAAAGTGGGATGAAACGGAGAGCAATTGTTTTGATTTAGTAAGCCCTTTGATCGACTCCTATCAACCCAAGTGGGATGAAACGGAGAGCAATTGTTCTGATTTAGTAATCCAAAAGACCTCCTTTTTAAATTGGAGTCTAACTCGTCCCTTTCTCAATGTGGGATAACTTTTTATTTATTTATTTATTTATTTATTTTTCTAATATTTTGGTGGCTACCTAACTCCCCGCAATTAAAGTGTAAATAAGATTATAGATAAATTTTAGATGGATGGTAGAAAAAGTGACAAACTAACCAAAAACTCAAGATCTTGTGATAGGGTCGATACTAGTCGAGACATAGTTACAAAGTGTTATCCTAAAAGATATGTTTGTTATTTACGAGTCGATGACTAATTTTAGTAACAGCTCGAGCTCAAGCTCGAGCACACCATTAACAATCCAAACATAGAAATAACAGAAGAATTTAATTTACATATATTAAATTCCAAAGTAAACATCCCTTTCCACTTTGTTTCAGCCATTCATAACTACATCGAACAAATAATACTATAATCATTCAAAAAGGTTCAATGTTTAGCCAAATTGGGTCCCTTTTCTACACAATTTGCAACCTAAATCATTATTACATGAATTATTTTCTTTAACAAACCCCCAAAAGCTATACTTTCCCTTTCTTTCCAATTATTTTTAGACAATGATGGGAATTGAAACTTGAAAGAAAAGAAAAATGGAAACAAACAGTCATGGGTTTGGTGAATGAAAGACATTTTTGAAGGCAAACCCAAACCCCACCTTGACATGATCACCGCTAGCAAATATCGTTTCGAGGTTCCCCTCAAGGTTTTAAAACGTGTTTGCTAGGGAGAGGCTTCCGCACCCTTATAAAAAATGTTTCGTTCTCCTCTCCAACCGATGTGGGATCTCACAATCCACCCCCTTCAGGGCCTAGCGTCCTCAGAGAGGTTTTCATTCCACACCCTTATAAAAAAACGTTTCGTTTTCCTCTCCAACCAATGTAAATCTCAAAATCCACCCCTTTCGGCGCCCAGCATCCTTACTGGCATACTGCTTCATGTCCACCACTCTTCGGGGCTTAGCCTCCTCACTTACACATCACTCGGTATCTAGTTCTAATACCATTTGTACGCCCCAAACCCACTACTAGTAGATATTGTTATCTTTGGGCTTTTTCTTATGATTTTAAAACACGTCTCTTAAAGAAAGGTTTTCACACCCATATAAAAAGAATATTAATCGAGGCTCTGTGTTGCCCACTCCTCTCTACTAGAATGTTTTCCAATGAAGAGGGCCCCAATCACTCACTCCAATGGTTCACACCCAGCCGCTCTTCTCTGCTTCTTCTGACCATTCCTTTCACACTATTCCTCTCCTTTTTGTTTACTTCCCTTGAGCCATCTTCAAAACCATGTGTCCACTTGCATTGGTGAGCAGGGCAATACACCCCGTGACATGCACCCTAATTTTACACACTGTTTTATAACCTTCAATCACTTTTGTCCCAACCCATCTTACCAAATCATGTGACTTTTTTCCCACTTCCGTATATAAACTCACCAGGGGATGCAAGAATCTTCACATTCATAGCTCAATCAAACTCATTGTTTAGTATTTAGGGGCCCAAGAAATCCAAAATGGGTTATCAAGTCAGAGTGGTTCTAGCCCTTCTTCTTCAAGCATCTTGGTTGCTGTTCCTGCAACAAGCAAACGCAGCAGGAACCAACAAAAAAGGGGCATTGAAAGGAAGAAAGCAAGCCAATGGGTGCAATTTGTTCCAGGGAAAATGGGTTATTGACCCTTCTTTCCCTCTCTACAATTCTTCTGGTTGTCCTTTCATAGACGCCGAGTTCGATTGCCAAAAATATGGCAGACCCGACTCTGTTTACCTCAAATACTCTTGGCGTCCCAACTCATGTAGTCTTTCAAGGTATTGGAATATATTTTATATAGCCGTAAATGAACATTAATAAAAATTGGACTTTCAATCCCACTTCAGTTCTAATTCTTAACATGTTATTAGAACTTCATTCTTAACACCTCTTTGTCTATCTTTTTAACGAGGAGCTGCAAGCCTCCTTCGGGCAGTGCTCTGCAGCTCGCTTGTTCATGATTCTCTCCATAACTTTCTTGGTGTTCTTCAAAGTTGACGAATTTGGTAATGGGGATTTCAGATTTGATGGGGTGGATCTTCTTAAGAGATGGAGTGGGAAGAAGATAATGTTTGTGGGCGACTCACTGAGTTTGAACATGTGGGAATCGTTGTCTTGTATGCTACATGCGTCGGTGCCTAATGTCAAAACTACCTTCACCAGGAGGGACTCTATCTCCTCTGTCGTCTTCCAGGTTTTGCTTCTACTTTTCTCTCTCTCTCTCTCTCTTTTTACTCTCTCAAACATTTTTTTTAACTTAAAATGTAACAGCTCTAGCTCGAGCACACCATTAGCAGATATTGTCTGCTTTGACCATTTGCGAATCGTCATCAGTCTCACAATTTTAAAATGTGTCTTCTATAAAGAATGATTTGTTCCCCTTTACAATCAACGTGGGATCTCACATAAAAATACCTTAAAATATTTTTAAAATTTTTAAAATACACGAACGAAACTGTTAATACCACATCTCAAAAATACCAATAAACTTTCTTAACTAATAATAATACCTTTAAACTTTTAAAAAAAAAATTATAATTGAACAAAATCATAAGTTTTAGATTTTTTTTTTTTTTTTTTTTTATAATCGAAAGGTAAATAAATGATTTCCATTTATATATCAATGGAAAAAATTTAGAATTTTTTATAAATGTTAAAAACTATGGGAATTTTCTAATTTAATAAAGGAAATTAAAAAAAAAAACTAAGTATAAAATTTATTAAGATTATATATAACAGCAAAAGAAAAAAAAATAATAATAAATAAATTCTTCAAATGTATTATATGATAATAAATAAATAAAAAATAATAAATAAAGTTCTTTGTATAACCATTTTAAAAAAAAAAAAATGGGTTTTTATTATCAAAAGTAATGATTTTCTTTATTTTGATCTTACTTTCTGAAAAGCTCTCAAAGCTTTGGGCATTTTTCTTTTGTCTTAATTAAGAAATAAAAGAAATAAAGTAAAAAAAACTTTCATTTATAGCCTTATTTTTTAAAATACATAAATTGCAGCTAAAAATAGTAATAAAAATAGAAATAATTAGAAATATAATATTTTTGTAAATAAGAAATAGAATGATAATAAATTTCACTATCAAGATACTAAATTTTGTGGTAGATAAGATTCGGTGAGATAAGGAATCTGTTTCCAATCATAAAAAAGTACTTAAAAAGAATTAAAATCTGAAACTTTTTCTTCTTACCCATCAAAATTATTTGCCTAATAAGTGGGTTTGAGTTATTATAATGGTAGTAGAACTAGACATTGGGTAGTGTGCCAGTGAAGACGCTAGGTCTCCAAAAAGGGTGGATTGTGAGATCCTACATCGATTGGAGAGGAGAACAAATCGTTCTTTGTAAGGGTGTGGAAACCTCTCCCCAATAGATGTGTTTTAAAACCGTGAGGCTGATGACAATACGTAATGGGCCAAAGCAAACAATATCTACTAGTAGTGGGCTTGAGTTGTTACAAATGGTATTAGAGCTAGACACTAGGCGGTGTGCCAACGAGGACACTGGCCCCAAGGGGGTGGATTGTGAGATCTCACATCGGTTGGAGAGGAGAACGAATCATTCCTTATAAGGGCATGGAAACCTCTCCCCAACAAACGCGTTTTAAAATTGTGAGGCTAACGACAATACGTAATGGGCCAAAGCAGACAATATCTACTAGTGGTAGGCTTGAGCTATTACAAATGGTATCTGAGCTAGACACTAGGCAGTGTGCCAGCGAGGACACTAGCCCCCAAGGGAGTGGATTGTGAGATCCCACATTGGTTAGAGAGGGAAACGAAACATTCCTTGTGAGATTTTCTGTTAGCACACTGCCCTAGTGGCGGACAATTGAATGGAAATTTTCTTACTTCCCATACTTACTCTAATGCTCCAAACAACATCATTATTAAGAATTTTGTGAAGAAAATGATATCAGGACACTAAGAGTTCATATGTGGACAGGATTATGGAGTAACATTACTTCTATATCGGACGCCGTACCTAGTGGACATAGTGCGAGAGGATGTTGGGCGAGTGCTAAAACTAGATTCCATCGAGGCTGGAAAAGCATGGCTAGGAATGGACGTCTTGATTTTCAACTCCTGGCATTGGTGGCTCCACACAGGAAAATCTCAGCCGTAAGTTCAAACATCAAACATTCTTAGGGACCTTGATGGTTTCTTTGAGCTTGGAGGAATGAACAAGAGTGTGTGTAATTTGCAGGTGGGATTTCATACAGAATGGCACGACACGGTTGAAAGACATGGACCGGTTGACAGCATTTTTCACAGGATTGACGACATGGGCCACATGGGTCGACCACAATGTCGACCCTACAAAAACAAAAATGTTCTTCCAGGGAATTTCGCCTACCCACTATTTGTAAGTGTTAAACTTAACAACCTTCAAACAATTTCAGGGAATTTAACACTAAGAATTGAACTGCAATGAACCAGGGGGAAGGAATGGAATCAGCCCAAAAAGAACTGCGTTGGACAGAGTGAGCCATTAACCGGATCAACGTATCCGGCAGGCGCACCACCAGCTACAGATGTTGTAAATAGAGTGTTGAGTAAGATAAAAGTACCTGTTTACTTGCTGGACATCACAACGCTCTCTCAGCTGAGGAAAGATGCCCATCCGGCTGGTTATAGTGGGGAGCATGCAGGCACAGACTGCAGCCATTGGTGCCTTCCTGGATTGCCAGATACATGGAACCAGCTCATGTATGCTGCTATCCTAAGCATGTGAAGATCAATAAGGTTAATATTATGAGATCTCCGCCAAGAATTTGGAGACAACTCTAATAAGGAACAGGTAACAAAAGTATAGTACTCATTAGACTGGTAAAGAGAATAGGAGCAGAATGGATAAGATACTGTAAAAGGGGATGAAATCTTACAGGACTAGGAATGAACTTCTGGTTTGTTCAGTTTATCTTGTATTCTTGTACACCATTGAGCTTTACACCTGATTTGATGGAGAGTTTTCTGATCTTTTCACAGTGATGAAACTTGTCAATGTAATGGTTTTCTTAACTTTATTACAGAAATCAGCAGTATTGTTTGGATTATGGTGTAGTCTTCCATATTCACTTACATATTTGGATTGACAAGATATATGTAATCGCTCAAGCCCACCGTTAGTAGATATTGTCCACTTTGGCCCGTTACATATTGTTGTCAGCCTCACGATATTAAAATGTCTGTTGGGGAGAGGTTTCCACACCCTTGTAAAGAATGCTTCGTTCCCCTCTCCATCCGATATGGGATTTCACAATCCACTCCCTTGGGAGCCCAACATCCTTGCTGGCACACCGCTCGATGTCTAGCTCTGATACCACTTGTAACAGCTCAAGCCCACCGCTAGCAGATATTGTCTGCTTTGGCCCATTATTGTCGTCAGCATCATGGTTTTAAAATGCGTTTGCTGGGGAGAGGTTTCCTTGCCCTTACAAGGAATGATTCGTTCTCCTCTCCAACCAATATGGGATCTCACAATCCACCCCCTTTGGGAGCCCAACGTCCTCGCTGGCACACCACCCGGTGTCTAGCTCTGATACCATTTGTAACAACTTAAGCCCACCGCTAGCAGATATTGTCTTCTTTGGTCCGTTACGTATTGTCGTCAGCCTTACGGTTTTAAACGCGTCTGCTGGGGAAAGGTTTCCACACTTTTATAAGATTGTTTCATTCCCCTCTCCAAACGACGTGGGATCTCACAATATATTTCTGAACTTAAAGAGCCTTTCTAACTCCATTTTCCACATATGTCCTAGTGGCTTTTATTTTGGTTTCTCCAAAAGACCTTGTATAGAGATGGAAACAATTGTCTTCATTCTATATCCATGATCGATTTCTTCCCTAGCCAATGTGGAATTTTGTTTCCACTCCTAACAACAATATACATATGGTGAGTTGGGGACAGTAATGAAGAAGAAAGAAAGGTACAATGATACCAGGTAACAGAAGTCACAGCATCATCCTCAGTAAATTCTGCATTCCCAACTTCTTTGATCAGATGCTTTAAGTAATCTCCTTTGGTTTCTGCGACCATTTTTATCTGCAAGTTCTATCACCATATTAATCTCTGAACACAGAGTTTGCATAGATGATCTTCAGCATACAATTTGATGTTCTCAATTCACCAAGAGCAGAAAAATCAGAATATGGATAGACTAGAGAGAATCATCTTAACCCATCTGTACTATTATATCTTACTGGATTTGACCACTAGAAGACACACCACAATGACAGATTAATTATAACTAAACTACATGGTAACTAATCGTTTAAATAAAACATGAATGGAGCAAACAAATGTTTCAATCTACCTGCCTGATCGTGTCATGATCGTGGCGGAGCTGCAGTCTTCCCGGGAGTCTCTCCGTCTCAAAGAGTGGTAGAATTCCGCCAACTCTCGGCCAGATCGACCTCTTTTCTTTGGATGGCAGCGGTGGCAGAACTGACTTAGACAGCAGATGAGGAGGAGGAAGCTGCAATACAGGCTTTAGCTGAACTTCTGGCAGTGGTGCAGGGGACGATTGGAGTTTAGAACTGATCAACCAAGTGAACTGCTGTATTTTCGGGGATTTCGGATTCATAGAACGGTCCTATAGTAGATTGCACACCGAATAATCCGGTCCTTAAGTTCTTGATCTTTTTCGTTCTTGACAATATTTAGCACTCAGTCTTTCTCCTTCAAATGACTGGTTAGATTTGATCTCAAATGTCAATAATTTAATCTCTAGAATAGTTGAACTTAGAAAAGGAAAAATCAACCAATTATCCAGAACTAGATATGTTTTCTATTATTGTCTCTTAGATTTCAAGCATTGCAATATGAGAACTAAAACATATCAACCAACAAAGAAGGCTAGTAATACCTTGATTGACTGAACATGCTAGTTGGCCAATCAAGTTATTAATATCTGATACATATTTGATAAATGTTTCTTGTATATTCATCAAGCAAGGCATCCTAACATGGGATTTTGGACGTGAACCATTTCATGACAAGAATTGGAACATTGATCAAAGCCAATGCAAATTCAACTGCCACAGTCACACACAAGCAGCAAGGACATATGCAACTGAGCACCGATCTGCAAAACCAAATTAAAACAAGCTTGAGAAAGGACTATTCTTAGAAGATTTGGCAAAAGCTTTTAAGACTAGAAACATAACAGTTATAAAACGAGAGAAAGAGATGCTCCATGAACATATGGTATGCCACGAACCCAAAGATCCAAATAATAATACCGACAAATCCAACAAAGAGGGCGAGGAAGGCGAATGGCAGGCCGAGAAGAAAGCCGAGAGGCCGGAAGTTACAGTCCTCACAACAGCAGCAGCACATGGTTATGTTCTAATTTGTTACTCTTCTTTCAGACTGTACCTGGGAGGTTGACAAGGAAGAATTCAGATGCAGCCTGCAGACTGCGATGCCTAATGTTATTACCTGTTACTTATAACTATACCATAGCTAGCTATTCTAAAGCTTTTCATTGGAATGAACGCCATTATAGACAGCTATAAGCATCATGATCCCACATCGTTTCCTCAATGAATCTCAACGTACCGGCTTTGTGCCGGCCTTTTTGCATGAAAAAGTTGAATCCTTTTTGTTCAGGTCAATTGGATCACTAAAAAACAGTACAAAATTCAACAATATAATACTATGACATTCGATAATTTTGAAAACTTCTAGAGATCTAAACTAAGAATGACAAGTTCAAACATGAATGGACAAATATTGGCATTGTCAAATCTTGCAGGCCATAGCTGAAAGAAGTCCATGAATCAAAGATAAGTTAACTTGTGGCATTTCTGTCCCTCTGATGAATAATTCATCCAAATTTTAGTTCCGATCACTCAAATGATATGCAATCGCAGAAAATTTAACCGCAAACGCTGGAGTTACACTGAGAGATCCATTAAATTACAGCAGCCGCAGCAGTCTGCAAATTTCACCATGTTTACTTCCGTGATGCAGTGCCTACTATGTCGTTGATGAGCATCAGCATTAGAAATGTTCATGGACAGTGTTCTCAGCAAGCCCTTATGTTGTTTTGGTGATATATATAAGAGCTCTGTGATTACAAAATCCCAAACTGTAAAATGATAACATCAACTTTGGAGCACCAAAACCGCCCTATTGGTAACTGTTGGAGCGATATGGTTCCTGAATGAGTGCGACAGAAACACAAAAAGTTATTTTTAAAGAGCATTCCAACATCAAGATTCAGCAATTTAGGCATAAACACTTCTCTGACCGAACAAGCAATCCCGCATTATCAGTTGAATGTCGACACTTATAAGCTGCCATCAGCCCCCACCCAACTGCTGCCTTTGCATTTAACTCTTCTCATCTTCATAACCTCTCTCAGTTCACTAACATTGTCCCATTTCCCAGCTTCTGCAAAGGTATTAGACAAGGCAACATAAGCTCCTGGTCGACTGTCAGCATTCAGCTTAAATAGTTCATTAGCAGCTATGCAGGCCATTTCAATGTTGCCATGAAGCTTAGCTGAGCTCAGTAGAGCTGCCCACACATCAGAATTAGGAGGTTCAGGCATTTGCATAATGAATTCCCATGCTTGATGCAAACTTCCTGCACGTCCCAGTAGATCAACCATACATGCATAATGCTCCAATTTTGGTTTCAATGAGTAGTCTCTCTCCATGCTTTCAAAAATCTCCTGCCCCTTCTCTACTAGCCCTCCATGTGCACAAGCAGAGAGAGCGCTCAGAAAGGTAACGAAGTTTGGCTGAATCTGGTGTTTCTCTTGCATAATGCAAAAGAGCACTAGTGCTTCATTTGGATATCCATTTTTTCCATATCCATCTATCATAGATGTCCATGAGAAGACATTTCTCTCCGGCATTTGGTCGAAAACTCGACGAGCTTCCTCCGTTCTTCCACATTTGGAGTGCATGTCTATAAGAGCACTTCCCATTCTGATATCTGTGAAGAATTTGGTCTTCATAAGTTGACATTGAATTTGTTGGCCTGCTTCAAATGCTGCCAACACCGAACAAGCACCGATCGCACTCGAAAACGTCGAAATATTCGGTGAAAAACACAAACGTTGCATATCAATGTAAACCTCAAGCGATTTCTTGGCATGTTCAAGCGTTTTACTATAACCTTCAATCATTGCATTGAACACAACTATATCCTTTTCAACAGTCTTCATAAAAATCTCTTCAGCATCTTGAACCAACCCCTGATTCATATATCCCGAAATCATCGATGTCGAACATATCACATTGTTTTGCAACATCATATCGAATACAATCCTGGCAAAATAAACGTCACCATTTTTAACGTATGAGTCAATAAGCGCAGTGTAAAGCACATCATCTGGTGATACATCCGACTTCAATATCTGGGCATGAACCACCCTTCCTAAACAACGCAGAACAGAGTCATTACGTGCACAAGTAGACGCTTTTAAAATCATTGAAAATGTATACCCATCGAGCCTTTCACCGGAAATTATGAGCTCACGAACCAAAGAAAACGCTTCTGCAACTTTTCCCACCTTTATATATCCACTGATCATATAATTGTATGCAGAAAGTGTCTTTTGTGGCAATTCGTCGAACGCCTGACGTGCATACTTCAACGAGTTACATTTCAGGTGGAGTATGAGTAGTTTAATGGAGATACTTGTATTGGGTATGAACCCGGATTTGAGAATATGGGAATGGAGCTTCTGACCGGGAGAAGGGTCGTCGGAATTGATGTAATGTTGCAGGGCTGATGCTAAAATGGTGGATGTTTGGTTCGAAGTTTGGGTTGCGGTGGCGGAGGGAAGAGAATCGCTGAGTGATGAGAAAATCCGGCGCGTAATAGCTTGAAATCTGCCATTTTTCATCTTCTCATGGCAGCGGATGGAATTATTTGGTTATGGTCTTGGATTTGCCGAGGAAATTCGGGATGGCTAATCTAAGAGGAACTCGGTCATGGATTTTCTACATATTATATGATATGTTATAATAAAAAAGATAAAAAGGCTAAATTATCACTAAAAAGAACCCTAACCTTTTAATACTTTCACAATTATAATATAATTTAACACTTCATAATATGTGTAATGTAAGTGCCGAAACCTAGCACCGATTACTTATCGTAGTCACGGTTTAAAACTGTAACGTTTCCATACCCTATAAATAATGTTTGTCGGTTGGGAAGAGGTTTCTACATATTTATAAAACATGTTTTGTCGCATAATAACGAGCAAGACACAATCTAAGTGAATACAAAGAATACAAGAGAGAAAATGGAATTAGAAATATTTGTCGATGTGGGACTTTCATCATCCAACACCTCGCCTCGAACAAAGTACGTCTCCTCTTAATCGAGGCTCGACTCTTTTTTCTATTTGGAGTCTTAGTCATTTTTTATTATGCGTTAGAGAAGGCTCGACTCTTTTTCTTCTAGAGTTCTTTGTTCGACATTTGAGGATTTACCAATCTATTGTCACAACTAAGTTTAGGGCATAACTCTGATATCATGTTAGACGAACACGACTTTCCACGATAGAAAATATTGGAGAAAGGTTTATATTAATAACTTCAAATATGTATACCAACAAAATACAAAGTAGTTTTCACTAATAGTATATATATGGTTTAGTTTATGTTTAATATAACTACCTACTATGTATAACTATCTATTATATATGTCTACCACCTTTTTACCCTAAATAGACAGTAGTCTATGTAACCCAACATTTGTTCCCTTCTCCGACACACAACTCGATATCCCGCTTTGATACCATTTGTAACTATCAAAGCTCACCGGTAGTAAATATTATTCGTTTTAGCTCGTTATTTATCGTCGTCAGTCTCACAGTTTTAAAATGTCTCTACTATGAAATAATCTTTATTTATCTCTTCAACTGATGTTAGATCTCACAAATTATATATGCATATAATTGGAACGAGTGGGGAGGGGATGCGTCCCCATTTAGTTAACACGAAATAATATTTTTCCGCTTTCTTCCCATTCTTAGTTGAAACGGAAATTTCACACTTGAATCGAAATAGATTACAGTGTACCCGGTCTTTACTCATCAAATTAGGCTCAACATATTAGATGACATCTCTAGTAATAAGCAGCATAATATGCACATAAATATACCATTGGTATACATATAATTAAGGATGCCTTATTGAAACTATATGAATGGGACGTTTGTAAAGGTCAGTGGATAGCAAAGCTTCGGCAATGGCTGTCCATTAGCAGCATCCAACAACAACTCACATCCTAATGGTGCCGCGGGTCAGGTCCTCCGGGGCTGAGCCGGGTCGGCTTGTAAGCGAAGTTCTTAGCGTATTCACTCCCCAGTCGAGCTATTTCGGTCGCAATTCGGGTCATTTCTGGGTTTCGGAAGAAACTATGAACTTTGTTGCTTCTCTTTATGCCTCTGAAGATTTCTTCGTCTTCTTCCCAATTCCTCGGAGCTATCAAATTACGAGCTTCGAGGGTTGAACAAAATGAAACAAGTACGAGGATAATCACGACATAGAAACAAAGATTAGCCATGTGTTTTCTGTTGTCTGCAAATTTTGGTCTGGAAATGGAGAAAGTTTTGGGCTCAGTCTTATGGGTTTGGATTCGTTGTTTATATATACTTAAAGCAACCATCTCTCATCCAATTATTTTTCTTTCTTTATCCAATCTGACGTGCACAGGTAGGTTAGAGAACAAAACGAAACATTGTTTATAAGAGTGTGGAAACCTATGCCTAACAAATGTGTTTTAAAAACTTTGAGAGTAAGCCCAAAGCGAAAGCTCAAAGAGAATAGTGGTGGGTTTGAGTGATTACAAATGGTGTAATGGTATAAGAGCCAGACACCAAAGTGTATGCCAACGAGGACGTTGGGCCCTGAAGGGGTGGACAATATCTGCTTGTGTGTAAGACAAGTGTGGACTTGGGTTGTTACAAATGGTATCAGAGTCAGACACCGAATTGTGTGCAAGTGAGGGCGTTGGGTCCTGAAGGGGTGGACAATATCCGCTTGTGCAAGACTATTTTAAAAATCTTGAGGGGAATCTCAAAAGGGAAAGCACAACAGGACAATATTTACTAGTGGTGCGCTTGTGCTGTTACAAATTGTATCATAGATAGACATCGTGTTTTGTGCTAGAGACACTAGGTCGTTGTGCGGATGCTAGTTTTCAAAGGAGGTAAGGGAAAATCCAAAGTGGACAATCTCGGCTAGCGGTGGGCTTGAGCTGTTACAAATTGTATTAGAGCCAGATACCAAGCGTTGTGCCAATGAAAACGCTGGGTCTCGAAAGGGATAAAGAAAAGCCCAAAGAAGACAATATATCCTAGTGGCGGGCTTGAGTTGTTATAAATTATATCAAGATCAGACACGAGGTATTAGAGGTGAATAATATATGTTAGCGGTGGATAGGACTTGAGCTGTTACACTTTTAATAGATAAGGAACGATTATATCTATATATAAAATATAACCAAAGTCTTATATAAGAGAGTTACATTGTAGGTCTTAATTAAGATTAGATTAAATATTAAAGG